TCAACGTTCTCTACACGAAACAAAGGAATGTCTTACACAAACTATAAATACCATGGCCTTCTAGGAATGCATGTGTTCAGTACAAGCCACCTGTGGACTGGTTTTGGTGTACAATGTCTCAACAACAGTCGGGCTTTGCTTCAACTGATGTTCATCAGCAAGGTCCATTTCAAGTCTCAGTTCGACAAAATTTATATACGTAGTACAAAATGATAATTAGTGTTGTTGAGAATGTATCTCCTATACGTAACTTTTAAGTGGTATACCTTAACTGATAAATTATCCGACTATGCTCCCGATTTCAAAGACAATGAGTTGCCCCAGAGTCAGATGCGGCCTGATTCACAAAAATACCCTTTGACCCGTACCACCAAAACAGATACTTTGTCCGGACATCACATATTCCATGTTTGACATTAATACACAAAATGTTGGATGTACGTACAAAATCAGACAGGTATTCTTTCAATTATGATTCAAAAGAATCAAAAGGCACATTGGCAACATTTTATTACTATAATGAAATGTACTGCATCACGTCACAACGTATTTACAAGTTTATCTCTGACGAGATTAGGCCTATATGTGCCGCACTCTCATAAAGGGAAGCCAAGTAGTAGTACATTCTCTATTTGTTGCAGAGGTTCAAGGTTCAAATCCGACTGGTATATCAATCATCGCCCCCGACTTACAAACTCATATCCACATGCAAGCCAGTGAACGGTCACCTTGTGGCAAACAGGGGCAGATGCCCATTATGGGCACCCTTCGAGTGTCTAAGATGACGTCACCCTGCTGCTGCTCTATATAAGAACGGGAGACACAGGAGAGCCTCACCATTCTGGCGAATTGCCCGATGATGCTGATTGCAATTACCAGCGAAACGTCGTACTCAAATTGTAAATGTTGTTGCTTCAACACACCGGTGGGCTAAAGCAGTGAACTATTTGTCTTTGTCAACGTGACACATTTTTACTGATTGGCCGTGTCGGGTGGTGGAGGGTTACGACACATTTATAAATAAACGCGATCTAAACCCAAAAATCGTTGATTATGAAGATGAGATATGTTAGAAAACACATGAGTCGCTCCCGGATTCGAGAACGACCCAACCTACAGATCTACAAAAACTGGCCACTCTTACACTGCAGTTTGAACCTCGAAATTGAGTGTTCAACTTCACATTATATTCATTAGAAAGGCCTGTGACAAAGATGCATCCATTGGAGCTTAATTGTCTCAAGCTTGCACATCTACCTGGTCTCCATTTGACTTTGTATTGTCTAAGAAGTCCACCCACACCTCCACATCCACAAACTCCTTGGAGTTGCCTCGCTCTGCCTCACAGTCAGAATTTAGTTCCTGCTTCACACTGCCTCCATCTATGTGAAGGTCCGATTTTGGAGTTGAATCATCTTCAAATTTAACCTTCACTTCTACGCTCTTCACTGTTACTTCTTCACATTTCACCTTCGCCTCTTCATATTTCACCTTGATACCTTTCAAAGTGTCCAGGCTAGGGTTGTCTTCTGGTTCTTGTTTCATGAACAATGGGGTCATTGCAGCACTTTTGACTTTCACAAGCTGATTTCAGATTACACTTCTTGTGGATTTTCTGATGCGTGTGTGTTCTCTGGTGTTTTTTAAGATTTGATGACTTTGCAAACACCTTCCCACACATAGTGCACTTGAAAGGTTTCTCTCCTGTGTGTGTTCTCTGGTGTGATTTAAGAATTGATGACTTTGCAAACGCCTTCTCACACACAGTGCACTTGAAAGGTTTCTCTCCTGTGTGTGTTCTCTGGTGTGATTTAAGAATTGATGACTTTGCAAACGCCTTCCCACACACACTGCACTTAAAAGGTTTCTCTCCTGTGTGTGTTATTTGGTGGGTCTGAAGATATGACGACCATGAAAATGCCTTCTCACACACAGTGCACTTGAAGGGTTTCTCTCCTGTGTGTGTTCTCTGGTGTTTTTGAAGACGTGATGACTGTGCAAACGCCTTCTCACACACAGTGCACTTGAAAGGTTTCTTTCCTGTGTGTTCTCTGGTGTCTTTGAAGATGTGGTGACCGTGCAAACGCCTTCTCACACACAGTGCACTTGAAAGGTTTCTTTCCTGTGTGTGTTCTCTGGTGTTGTTTAAAAGTAGATGAATCAAAAAATGCCTTCCCACACACACTGCACTTGAAGGGCTTATCTCCTGTGTGCGTTCTCTGGTGGGTTTGAAGATTTGATGACTTTGCAAACGCCTTCCCACACAGAGTGCACTTAAAAGGTTTCTCTCCTGTGTGTGTTCTCTGGTGTGATTTAAGAATGGATGACCGTGCAAACACCTTTTTACACACACTGCACTTAAAAGGTTTCTCTCCTGTGTGTGTTCTCTGGTGGGTCTTAAGATTTGATGACTTTGCAAACGCCTTCCCACACAGAGTGCACTTGAAAGGTTTCTCTCCTGTGTGTGTTCTCTGGTGTGATTTAAGAATTGATGACTTTGCAAACGCCTTCTCACACACACTGCACTGAAAAGGTTTATCTCCTGTGTGTGTTCTGTGGTGTTGTTTAAGAGTAGATGAATCTGAAAATGCCTTCCCACACACACAGCACTCTAAGGGTTTCTCTCCTGTGTGTGTTCTCTGGTGCTGTGTCAAGTTTCCAGTACGATCCGTGCTGTTTGCATGCTGGTCGCATTATTTCCTTCTTGTACTGAACTGCGCTGAGTGCCTTTGCTCCATCAGGTCAATTCTGCAGAGAGAGCGTCAGCTGCAAACAGAAAAGCATGTCCACACCATCTATGTGAGTATTGAGGCACAGAGGAATGCATATATACACAGTCACACATGACTTACACATCTATACATATTCATATTTTCATGATATAGTGAAAGAGATTCCCCAATTCATCACACGGGCTGTTAAGGCACACAATGCGAGGGCAAATGGTCATAAATATGCCTGGACACCCTAGTGTCTTCAAAAGTAATGTTTACCAAAAACTCCAAGCACACAATTTTGGTTGTCTAGCTACGACAGGAATATTTATTTAAGAAAAATTAGCTAACATAGCAAAGGCTGTTGAAAAGAATACTATTTGTATTATGCAGAAATATATAAATTAATGTTCATTTGCAACTTAGAGGTGTGAAGCCAGGCTCAGATGAGCTTGAATGCGAGGATGAACAGATCTAACTTAAGCTGCATATGTGCAGTGTTAATTTCCTGACTGTTTCCATTCTTATAAAATTTTGTTCTGTACCTGTTGAATTCCATGATGAAATGGGGCCTTGCATATGTTCTAGAAAAATATCACCTCCCTGGGAAAATCTTGACTTAAAACTTTCGTGACAGCAGGAATTCATATTCTTTGGTTATTTCGGTAAAGTCACATAGATAGAAAATAATAATACAAATAAAGTGAATAGAAGAAAAAAAACTACTAATGTAGACTGTAGCCTGGTTCTTAACCTCGGTGAGCGTACTGGCAGTCTATGTCGACTGTAGCCTGGTTCTTAACCTCGGCGAGTGTATTGGCAGTCTATAATGTAGACTATTGCCTGTTTTTTGACGCGACCTTTGCAATGGACTAGACCTTGGCGATGGACACTCACAGCTTTGTGTAATAACAGCCATAGAGGGTTCACGTGGGGATTGGCTTGCCGGTCCCGCTTTGTAGCCAATAAGGGGTGAGCCAGGGAGCATGGCCTCGGGCGTGATCACGGCATGTTAGCAGGGGTGATTGGCCTGGACAATCGGGGCCTCAGCTAATGGGAAGCCGGATCAGAGGCGTGGTCCCGGGATTGACAGGGAACCATCGGGAACGGTCAACGCTGTCTACGGAGGATTGGCTGGGGGGTACCACGTGACGAAGGGATTAAGAGAGAGAGGGAGAGAGAAGTCGGGAGCAGACTTGGGAACGAGAAGAGCAGGAGTCACGCGCGTACGGGGCTCTGGGTGCCACATGCGGGACTTGGCGGGAAGTCTGCCCGCTTTCCGTTGTCTGTCAGCAACGGGGAGTGTGTGAAGTGTAACTGTGGAAGTTGAAAATAAAAAGGACTGATTCCGGAAGCCGTCTCAAGAAGGTTTATTACATTGGTATCAGAAGTTCTTCTGCGACCGTTTGGACGATCGTCAAGATGACCAAGCACCTCAGAAAAAAGAACCTGCCCGAGCCTCCATCGGAGGAAGAGGCCGAGACGGACGAAGATGAGCTGTTGGGGGCTACAGCCCCTATGCCGCCTGCTGATACTGCTCTCCTCGACGCCTCTCAGCGTCGACTGGGAGAAGATGCGACCACCGCAGGAACGAAAGACGGATGGCGGCTGATGGCGGAGCAGATCGAGTCGTTACGCGCCATTCTGCTGAGTCTGGTGACCGCGGTAGCGTCCTCACCAGCCGTGGGTCGCCAGATTGCGGATCAGCTGGACGCCGCGGGAAGGGGTCCTACAAAAGAATCGGAGTCCGCCATTGCTCCTGCCACGCGGGAAGAAGCCGACGTTTTGGGCGGTGCGGCTGCGCTGGAGCCGTCGGCCGCCATTTTGGGCGCGCCTGCCACCACGCGGCCGCCGGACGCCATTTTGCCTGCGACGGGTGGAGCGCGGGAACCGCAGTCGGAGACGCCCGCGGCGCGCGCTTGCCACCGCAGACATCAACTTCCACAGATTAAAGAATTTCTCGCCGGGGGCGATTGGAGTGCTTTTACGTGGCGCTTCAAGTCAGCCTTTAGATCCGTGCATTGGACGGAGGAGGAGGCGCTGGGAGCGCTACCTTCACTGCTTGATGATGTTTCTCTGGGGGTCTTCCGCTCCATCCCCGCGTCCAAGAAGAAGACACTGCGAGATGCATTCGCAGAGATGGCGGAATTTTACGACCCACCGACGTCAGCCACCAGAAAATTTATGTCGCATCGCCAAAAATCGGAGGAGTCGCCTTTGGCTTATCGGGGGGCGTTGATGGCGATGGCCATGGCTGCCTATCCCCACGCGACGGCCGATCATTTGGATCCTCTCATCCTTTCCCGTATGCTGGATGCTGGAGTTGTCTCAGGAGCTCAACATTTCTCTACCAGTGTGCGGCCACGAACCGCTTACATCGCGATGGGTGGCGCGCTGCCTGGACGCTAAGTTTAACATCAAGCGCTGGGACCAGATGGCGGCGTGGACGGGGAAACCCGAAATCGACGGGCCGCCCTTGGGGTGGTCTCCACGACGGGTCGTGCACTGCTCCGACGACTCTGGTGACGACGATGTGCTGGCTGCTGCTGTTCCGCATGGGATTCTGGGACGGCAGCTGCGCGACCAGCGTGGTGACTACGCAGGCCGTCCACGTGCGGGGGCCGGGTCATCCGACCGCCGGCCGACGACGGCCGCGTGTTTCAAGTGCGGCAGATGAGGCCATTTCGCCCGCGACTGCCGCTGCCGACCTCTGCTGTCGCCTCTTCCGCCAAGGGGACCTCCATCTCCTCCACCTGCTGCGGAACTGCAACAACCTCGGGCGAGTCAGCACAAATCGGACACCCGGCAGGTCGTGTCACATCATTCATCCACTCGCACTCATTCTTACACTCCTAAGGATAATTTTACTTCTCCTGCACCATTTACACGCTCTGCTACACAGTGGAAGAAATTGGCTCGCAGGGTTGTGGCTGCGGCGTCAGGCTCGTCGACGGTACGGGGTACCATCGACGGCGTTGACGTCCGTATTTTGGTGGACACTGGCGCATCTGCCACCATCATTTCAGATGTTATTTTTCATTTGTTGTCCATTCCTACGTCGCGGATACGCAGGGTTAATGATGCGTGTGTAGCCGCAAATGGGGGTAGCATGGGTATCTGTGGTCAGGTAGATGTGAGCATCGCTATCGGAAATATTACCGCCGCAGGACCTGTGTTGATCTCTCGCTCGCTAGCTGTCCCATGCTTGCTTGGTACTGATTTCCTGCGCCGGATGCCGCTGAAAATACGGGTCGACCAGGATTGTTTGGAAATGCCGGGGGGTCGTAGGATGTCGTTCCTGCCTTCCCTGCTGGCCAGTGCGCCTACAGGTAACGCAGTTACTGCCGTAGTCGCTGCTACGGTGGAGGTTCCGTCGGGAGCACAAATGCTCATTCCGCTGCAATACCGAAAACCCCTTCAAATTGAAAGGGATGCGAAGGGCGTGCTATTATCCCCATCAAATTCGGTAGCTAAATCTTTTTCCTTGGCGGCGGCACAAACGATCGTGCGACCAGGTCAGGCACCTTTCATACAGGTGTTGAATGGGGGACCTGACCGCGTTGTTGTTCCGGAGGGATCGGTGCTGGCTCACGCCACTACCGATTTCGCCTCTTGTGACGAAACGCCGCGCGCCCGGATGCCCGCTGGTGGGCCTCCACACGATTGTTCACAAAAACGCTGGATCGCAGATTTATGCGGGGAAAATTCTTCTTTGTCGAATGAGCAAAGGAATGCTCTGCGTTCATTATTGCTACGGTACGTGGATGTTTTCAGCAGAAATGATTTGGACCTCGGCCGCACGTCGCTTTTATCGCACCATATTGACACCGGTGCGACACCTCCCATCTGTATGCACCCTCATCGCATGAGCCCAGCGGAAAGGGAACACGTGCGCGGAGCAGTAGATGAATTGCTGGCGGCGGATATTATTTCGCCGTCCAACAGCCCTTGGGGCGCGCCCGTCGTTCTGGTTAAGAAAAAAGATGGTGGTACAAGATTTTGCGTTGATTTCCGCCGGTTGAACAAAATTTCGGTGGCGGACGCGTACCCTTTACCGAGGATGGATGACTCATTGGATGCTTTATCGGGTGCTAAATTCTTTTCCACCCTTGATCAGTCCTCGGGCTTTTGGCAGCTTCCCCTCGATGATGAGTCAAAAGCCAAAACGGCATTCCGCACGCCGCAAGGTCTCTTTGAATTCAATCGGTTGCCTATGGGCTTGAATGCGGCTCCGGCGACGTTTCAACGGCTCATGGAATTGGTGTTGGCTGGACTACAGTGGGAAACGTGCCTCATATTTAGACGATATCATTGTTTTCAGCCGCACGTTCGAGGAACACCTCCAACACCTGGAGACAGTTTTCCAAAGAATGCGGGCGGCTGACCTCAAGTTTAAGCCTAGAAAATGTCACCTTTTGCAACACTCCGTCCGTTACTTGGGTCATATTGTCAGCTCGGACGGCGTGTCCACTGACCCTCTGAAAACCAAATGTGTTCGAGAGTGGCCCACACCCACTTCCGTGGGTGATGTTCGGTGGTTTATTGGATTCGCTTCCTATTATCGCCGCTTCGTTAAGAACTTTGCGACGTTGGCAAAACCATTACACGTTCTAACGGGCAAAAATCAAAGGTTTAAATGGGGAGCGGAGGAAGAAAGTTCTTTTAGATCACTTCGGGAACACCTCGCCACGGCGCCTACGCTAGATTACCCAGACTTCTCACAGCCGTTCATCCTTGATACGGATGCTAGTGATATCGGCATTGGGGCCGTTTTGTCGCAACGTAAGGACGGGGTTGAGCGAGTGGTGGCGTACGGCAGCAGGGTTCTGTCCCCTGCGGAAACGCGATATTGCGTGACAAGGCGGGAACTTTTGGCGATTGTGCATTTTGTTCGATTGTACTGGCCGTACCTGTATGGAAGGAAATTCCTCGTTCGCACTGATCATGCGGCTTTGCAATACTCCTTGAAATTGGACCAG